TTTAGTGAGCTCATCTCCCCAAGCACTGGAGAAAAACAACTCAAACCAAAGCACTTACATTCCCTTTCCCCTCCTCATTGTCTCTACCTCCCCACCAACCTCCTCAAGCCTAAACAGACCCATTTTCCGCTGGTGACAAGTGGTTAAGGACATGCTCCCCTTAAACTATGCTGTTCTCATTAGGTGCCTCTCTGGGCTGAGAGCCATTGCTAATCGATAAAACCTGTCTAAAACACTAGATCTTCTTCAGCCTCTAAATTTCACATTTCTCTAGCTCATTAGACTAAGTCAGCTGTAAACCAAAATATATGTGTTTTTGAGCAGTACCGAGTATTTTAGCTAAGATAGTTATCTCCGAGCAGCACTGCCTGGTTGGAGCTATAGAGAACACGACCTCTACACAGAAGCTGATTGATGGACAATTGGTTCATTGACCACTGAGGAGTAAATAAGTAACAGCAACTATCGGGGCTGCCTCACCACACTCTGCCAGCTCCTCCACATTGCTCACTGAGCAGGACCACTCAGACTTGGACACTGACCTCGGTTGCTTGAGTTGTTTGCTCATCTCTAATGCCTTCCAATTTATCTCATTACAAACTGTTTATTAAGAGGACAGATCTCACAGTTCAAGGCAGAAGAGCAGGGGTTAGTAGCCCAGATATGAGACAGGCAGGCAGTGGTTCAAGAGCCCCTGAGCAAATTATGTTCTTTAGCCTCCATTTTCTCTGAAATGCTGTGACGACATTTACTTGGAAGCATATCTGGTGAGCTAAGATAGTTTCATGGCTGCTACCTAGGCAGAACCTTTCAATCCTTACGGTAGTATCTATCACTTCTACCTCGTGAGGGTCTGCTTTATATGTCGCTCATGTCTAGGAGTGAATTTCTTATTTGTAGTGCTTTTGCTATTCAGGTCCACCTAAGGGATCTCTGTCCTGTGTGCTGTGGTAGGCTCAGCAGCATCCCTGGCCTCTGCCCGCTAGATGCCAGGAGCACTTCTCTCCTAGCACTGCCAAAATGTTCTCAGGTATTGCTGAATGTCTCCTGTGGGACAAGACCACCCTCAATGGAGAGCTACTGGTCTACGGCCTTCTTGTCTTGAAGCTTCCAAACTTTGTAGCACCCAGAACTACTCTTCTGGAAACTGGGCTGTTATATCTGATTGATAAGAGTTTTTTTTTTTTTAAATGACCCTTAACAAAAAAGTTTTATAACCTAAAAAAATTACTTTTTTCTGCTTCAAGCATAACTTTCTCTAATTGTTTAGAAAATGACTTTTCTCATCAGGATGATGGGCAGCAGTGAGCAAAGTCAGGTTTGTATATGACACTATTTGTGAATTTAGAAATTATCAAACTAGGCTGAGGTGCACACCTGTAATCCTAGCACTTTGGGAGGCGGAGGTAAGAGGACTGTAGGTTCAAGCCTGAGCAGTGTAGTGACTTAGCAAGATCTTATTTAAAAAAAAGATGAAAAATGTAGTTCACTGTGAAGATCCTGATCCTGGGTTTTATTCCCTTGTACTGGAAAAAAAAAAAAAAACTTACCAAATGAATACTCAGGGCATTAGGCTGGATTTTGTTGAACCTGCTGAGTTTGGTAGATTACATATTTTCTGGGGGTGCTCTTTGGATGGGTGGCAAATTCAGAGTATACGCCTAGGAAGCGCATGGTCCTCGAGATCCTGGATGACAAGTCAGGTAGGACAGCAGTAACTGCTAAGGTCTACTGAGTGTTTGCCATGTTCTAAGTCCTCTTCTAGGACTCATAAATATTTATCTCATTGAAATGCATGATGAAGTCATCTCTATTTTGTGGGTGAGGAAACAAATGCAGAAATGCAGCCTAATTGGCTCAAGACACAGTGGTAGTGGTGACTCAGAGCTGATACCCAGACGTCCTGTTGCACCCTTGTCTTCTGCCTTCCTGCTCAGCTCTGGGGAGTGAGACCGTGCACCCCTCTAGCTCTGGCCTGGGCATTATGCTGAGGTTCAGTAAATGCAGCAGGAAACAGGGAAGAAAGAAAGGAAACATGGTTTCCATTCTGACTCCAGGGGTGTTTCATGATTTCTGAGTCATCAGAGGAATGCAAAAATATAATGGTCACAATTTTAATTTTGTGAACAATTTATCTCATATTTATCTTTTGTAATCATCACTGTATTTCTGGCATGGGGTAAATATCCATAAGTCATTTGCTAAAGCTAGAACAAAAACTCTAATCTCTGAAGTCTCAAGTTATGTGAGAGAAATGGCAAAGAGGTGAACACATTGTCATTAGATGGAGGAATAAAACATTTTATAAAGAATTCTTTACCATGCAGCAAAAGATTCCAAAGGAACCATAAAAGGAGAATGAATGCTCTCTTCTGTTTCCATAAAGAATGCTGAAATAGGAACTGCCTATCCCCAGCAATAGGAAAATATTGCACTTAATATTGCTCACTTCTGCTTTCTTTAAATTTCCCTTCCTATGTTTCTTTTCCAAGTAAAAAACTTAAAATATAATTCGTTGATTTCACATCTTAGTTATGTTCCTCTGAGCTCTTTAAAGATGAATGACTAGCTTTAAAACTAGTTAATCATGCTGATAGCAGACTGTCAAATCTTTGCTGTTTTGTTTGTTTTTTAAAATATGGTTTCACTATGTAGTCCAGGCTGGCTTGAACTTAATGCGATCCACCTGTCTCGGGCTTGCAAGTGCTGGGATCACAGAGTGTGCCACCATACCTGGCCTTTTACTTACTTTTGAATTGTTGCAATCATGGCCTGAATTGAATCAACAGACTTGTTTATGAAATATATCAAATAGCAGTTGGCAACAGCTTTGTAAGTTCTTTTAATACCACAGTGGACTATGTATATGTCTTATATATATAAATACTGTCAACCTGGTTGATTTACACAGAACTCTTTGCTTTTTTAGTGAAATAAAAAATTCTGTTTTTAACCACAGTGCCCTTTTTCAGGGACTTCTGTACTTTTCTGTAAACAAAATGAACATTAAAGTATAATGACACACACCATTTGTATGACTAAAGAATGTGTCTGTAGAAAAGAAAATTCAAGTTGGGCTCCCAAACTTTGGCAAACCAGAAAACTGGAGTGAAAGGGGCTCTCTGTGAAATGCACTTGCTTTACACACCAAATGCTCCTTTGGCAGTGATGTCAACAGCGTAGGTGAGATGCTGTTCTGAATCATGGGAAAGGAAGCTCCCTTGCTCCATGTGCTGAAGCCCCTCTTCCTTAAATACATTTCTCCTGGACCCCAATACCCGGGTGGAGGCAGCCCTCAGCTCCCAGTCCGGGCGTTGACTTGAGGCAGGGAGGCAGGCTAAGTACCTGTGGAGCCTCCTCTGTTGGTTTCTGGGTGACACAGCTCTGCCCACCTTCCCACCAAGAGTGCCAGCCTGCTCTTACATGGGGATAAGCCATTGGATTTATATTTTGCATTTTTAGTTTTTAAGGAAAAAAATATCTGATTTTCTTTTTCTTCCTAGAAAACGTTTAAACAATCCTACCACAATGTATGTAGTTGGTAATTGATTATCTTTAGTCTTCCTAGGTTGCTTATTTTTGCCAATAGAGCTCTTGACAGCACTGGCAGAAGTCATGGTTATTTTTTTTATGGTTACTGAATAAAACTGATAACTGGAAGGAAATGCACGTTGTATGTTATCACATGGTCCCAAAACTTCAAAGGAAGATTAGAAACAGGATGTGTCTACAGGTGCAGAAGATGTGTTCAAATCTTCAGCAAATTTTTTTCTATCACAGTTAATATCATTGCACAGATGAAAAGTTTAGAGCTTTTAAATACTGTCCTTTCAGACAACGACATTTGTTTACAGGGTTTCAAAACAATTCCTGTTTTCCCTAAAATAGATGAGGTAATATTTTTTTGGTGTGTTTAAACACTGATTCATTCTACAAATTGAGTGCCCTTTTAAAATGTCAAAATATATGATACAAAGATAATACACATACTTAAATGTTAGCTCATGTGGGACCTAGGTAAGGATATTCTACCTACAGGATACTAAGATACAAAAAGCACAATGCCTTCGCTTAAGCAAATCATGTAGTGGGGCATTTCAGAGTCAGTTGTACAATCTTTAACTGAATGTGTTTTATTTAAATACCTGCCAAAAGGTCAAGCAGTTGAGAAACAGAGCCATACCACCACTGAAACACAGCCGTGTCTTGGCTCAGGAACACTTCTGTTTGCAAATAATTCGGTTCATAAATGAAAGTGTTCTGCAAAATTTTGCTTCCATTTGCAAACTCCACGTCGGATAACAAATATGATCAAGTGCATCTTCCCCACACAAACACAAACACAAACACAAACACAAACACAAACACAAACATAGCCATCTTCCTCCAAATTTGTAAAACAAATTAAGTTTGTGGACAGAGGTACCACTGTACCAAACTGCTGGATCATAAAATGCAGAGTAAGTGACTGAGCACATTTTTTACTGCAATTCTAGGATCCAGGGATCAAATGTACAACCTCAGGAGCTTCCCTGCTTCCTTTCAATCATTTTCCTCACTCAGTTTAGTGTGTGTGTCTGTGTGACGCACGTGTGCATATACATATGTGCATTCACATAGGTTGATATTTTATAGACACAGATGGGATCTATCACTCCTGTAAGAAACTCACTTGAGGTCCCTGACCCTTTGGGAGCTGTTCCCTCTCCAGGTACCAACCAATCATAGAATTCCTAGACAGTGTCAGAAAGCCACAGTGAGAGTAACCACCAGAGGAGAATTTGATTGTGACTCTGGGGTGCAAAAGGACATTTGAAGAGAGACCCACAGGAGTGGACGCAGGCGCTGGGTCACACAGAGATCACCGCCGTGGGGAGATGGACTCAGCTCACTCACAGTCTGCTGCATTCCAGAAAAGCAGCAACAGCGAAGGAATCAAAGAAAGTTTAGATTGACTTGATAAGTGAAGGAATAAGGGACAAAACCTGGTCACCAGTTACCTTATGAAGATGACTTGGGGTGCAGAAGCTGCTGGTGGCCTTGCTCAGCCGACTGCACCTTCCTGTTGTGCTCAGGGGAGGAAGTGCCACTCTTACACTCCGAGCCTCTTGAGCTGCGGTACCGGGACTTCCTTCAAACTCTGGTCCTCGGCATGTGTGAGGAGTTTTCTCCTGGCTCAGAGTCACACCCATTGTGACACTGCATGCTGACTAAGTCTCGACTGTATGGAGGGGGAGTCAGGAAGCCGGAGGTCATCTGTTTTTTGATAAAATGAATTTAGCTACTTACAGAACGATCTTAAAAATGATCAACAGCATTCTTTTTATTGTGACTACAATCTTCTGAACAAATGCAGTAGCTGAACTATTGTGACAGGGGAGCATTTTGTAAACTGCCTGATGCATTGTGTTAATAATTTAACTTTTGAATTATTATTGTTCATGACCTAGTTGGTATTTTTTTAAATTCCTGTTAACATGCTTGTGACTATTTGGTAACCCTTTCTTCCTAAGAGACTAAGTAGGAGAAATCAGTCACCAGCTGATGATTCTGTCCACTGTTTTAGATGGTTCAGCATGGCGATCAAAGCCAAACAATGAAACAAGGTTTTGGACAACTCACGGTTCCTAATTTGTGGTTTATGGCGTACAATGAGACTTAACTGCTGTGGTCTCTGAGACCATAAAGAACAGGAAAGGAGGCCTCTTCTCTTTGTGGATGGTGCATCTGGACCTTGGGACATCAGAGGAAAGTACACTTTTGAGGCTTTAAGTGATGAGGGAAGAGATGGACTCCCTTACAGACACACACACACAATTTAGTCACACTGGCAGATAAACCTGTATACAAGTTTAATGTTATACCCACACTCTTCCTTCTTTGAAACATGTAATTTACTATGGCTCAGCTGGGGTAAGCATAGGAAGAAACCTCTGTCCACACAGAGAATCCAGTGGTGGTGCCCACACTTTTAAATCAAGTGGTGGTGGAGGGGTGTATTTTCCTCCAAAGGAACAAACAATCAAAACTGAAGTTTACTCAGGACAATATTTAGGATGCCTGAAATGTGCCAAATACACCTCTTTCCCTTTAAAAATCCACAAGTTAAACTAAAGCTGAAATATGAAATCTCAGAGAAATAAGACAAGGACTTAAATCCACATGAGGAAAGATATGAAAAATGAATACTGGACCATTTCTGTGACTGACAGGTGGAAAGGACTTTGGGTACCTGAGTGACCCTAGGTATTGGAGGGAAAGGGCAAAGAAAAGGTTTTGTCAGTGGGAGCTTCAACTTGCTTAATAACATTGCAGTGTGCACCTCTGAGAGACATTCCAAAATGTTTCAAGCAGGCTTCCTGAAAAACCAGATGTTTAGACCATGTCACATATTAGGAATGGGAATTCTTGCTGTCTGTCTGGTACATTCCTCAATCCCAGTGGACCTAACTGAAGAAGTCAGCTTCCCTACAGGCACCAGAGTTGGAACATCTGTCTCTCTGCCAGCTGGCCCCGTCTAGGTGCTCAGCTGATGGAATCATTTGTTGGCAGCACCTTATCCTGACAGTAATCAGATCCACATTCAAATTCACATCCTAACTACTCAGTTGTCTTTTATTCCACACCCTTAGCATGCAACTGTTGAAAGTGCCATTTTAATTTTTTGGTCATCAAAGGCAGTGGATCATAATATATGATACATTACGCATACACATGCACAGACACACACACACACACACACACACACACACGTGCGCGCGCACACACACACACACACACACACAGACATGAGTGTATACCCAGGAACGAATTGCCATTTGATGCTTTTCTCTAGTTTTTAAAAAAACATAAAGATATAAAGGTGCACTATGCATTTCTTTCAAATGTAAATTGGAGTGTTGCTTATTGAACTGTAGTTACATAGGGGTAAAGTCACATATTGCTACAGAAAAACAGTAAAGATAGGGCTTTTTTTCCTTTTTCTAAATCAATAGTTCCTCCATGTTTCTGCCCACGAGTCCTTTCTCCATCCCTTTCCAAACATCAAAGCAGGAGGAGAATAGCCATGGCTGGCTCAGGCAACATGTACCAGGCTTCTTACAGCTGTGTGGCTCTGGTGATCTGTGGTCTGAATCAGAGACTCCTGGGAGCGGACTTCTGGAGAAAAGCAGTGACCTTCCCCGCAGGCTGTAGCGACTCTACAGTGTGTCTGTGCAGTGTGGTTCCTGCCAGCAAACCTGGCCACAGGCCTGCATTGTTAACTTCCTCTTTCCTGCCGGGATAATGTTCTCTAAGGCGGCTCAGCCTCTCTGAGTAGCTATGAATTGGCATTATGACTTTATGTCTTTAGATGTGTACTTTGTGTTTTATTCTTCCTCCTTTTGTCAACAGACTGTTGTTTTATTTTCACAATAAAGGAAACCCATCCTTTAGTCTCCTTTTTGACACCGACAAGCCCTCTGACCTGGGAGCAGCTTATGAGTAGCTAGGCTTGGAGCTTTGTAATGCTTTTGGCTTTTCATGACTCCCAGCTGTAAGATGAAGCAGGCTAATCTCTTGTTCCTCTGCACTGTAAGATTCTCGGATACATTATCAGGGTCTGAGTCATGGGAGCAGTCGGTAAATTCTTTGAGAAAAGTTCTTTCTTACTTGCGAAATACATTTTTGTGTCTCATACAAAAAGTCCTGAGCTGAAACATGAGAAGTGTTATGTGAGAGATCACCAAGGAATTGGCTGAGAACTTGAGCAAGGGATGACCAGAAATGCTGAGGGTTCTGGGCAACAGGGAGCCTTGGAAAAATGAGGGTGGAGACTTGGAAAAATGAGGGTAGGAAAAAATGGCCCCTTGTGGCTTGTCAGTTTTTAAAGAAATGGTTCAAAAGAAAGGGGAACTAGAGGAGGGGAGTGGGAAGGAAAGAAGGGAAAAGAAAACAAAACATAGAAAAGGATAAAATGGAAACAAAGCTTTGTGAATAAGGAGGGGAAGAGGGCTCGAAGGGAGTGAAGGGGATTGAGAATAGAGGAAACAAGATATATTATGTTCAGGTACAAACTCCTTATGATGAATATGTTCATTATGTATAGGTAAATTGTACCAATAAACATGGTGCTCACAGAGGGAAAGAGGCAAGATTCCTTTTGATGTGGCCCGTCACATCTGAGCAGACTTCTTCCCTGAAGCAGAACCTAACACCCAGCTAGCTAATCCCCTCTGAAGTCCTACGATCCTTACTAAGCACAGCACGCATGAGCTGCCTTTTGCTGGAGGGAAAGTGTGAGAGACCAGAGGCAAATTGAGGCTTAATTGGTCTTCTCTGAGAGCACAAGGGAGAAAGTCAGTACAGCTAGTTTAAAATGTTTACCTGAGCAGGTATTAGTGGATAATGGGAAGCAGATGCGTCTTGTGTCACTTTTATTGTTTGTGTCTCTGTCTGGGTGAATAAGAGAGGAGCCAGAGGCCAGGGGCTCCTTTGCCCTAGAAACAAGAGCCCTAATGTTAAACTAACTTTTCTGCTTTGTCATTCATCCTCAGTCTCTGGGTCAGAGGAACAAACTAGCTGCAGGACTAGGTACCTGCAAGTGGCACCAGGGCAGGGACAGCTCTGAGGAATGGGCTGCTTCTCCATGAGTGGTGCCTGGGAAAGGCACCTAGGGACCAGCAACAGGCTGGTGCCAGTGGCATGAACAGCCTTAGCTCTGCAGACACGGGACCCAGGAGAATTTGAACAAACAAACTTTCCTAAGTTAGATCAAAATTCCTTTGTGCAATCATACTTCTGCACGACTCTCCACTCTTTGGCAAACCTAGCATAAAATGCAGTTTTTCTTGTTTCTGTGGGTCTTCATTTCCCAAGGCTCCCCTAACACATAGAACTTCTACTGAATAAAGATGTATGCTTTTCTCTTGATAACTTTTTGTTATAGGAGCCTCAGCCAGGAGCCTTGTGGTGGATGAGGAAAGAACCTTTCCTTCCTTACAGATCACATGGCAATGCTGTTAACAAAACCTATGGAAAACAGGACACATTGTTATAACCTCCTTGTTGAGGCTGGTGGGCTGCCAGCACAGAAAAAGCCTGCAGTGAAGTAGCTCTCAGGGGCATTCTGGTATGCAGCAGATATATGCTGGGACATGTCCCACGTACACAATCCTTGCTTTATCTTTACCATGAACCAGGGGCACTTTCTGGCTGGCATCTCAATGCAGCGGGGTCATTTCCCCAACTTCTCTCTGAATGGAGAACTTGTCCTTTACTAAGTCAGGGCTGTGACACTGGTTTCAGCTGAGCTCCTGTCTGAATAGGGCTAATTTCACCTTTAAGCAAAATCTCGGAGGCCAATAATTTCAAGAAATATTTCTGCCATTTTTAAAGTTAGTTTATTATACAAAAATAATTCAGTCTCATCAAAAAGTGGATAGAAGACAAATTGCTCTTCATGTAACTAATCAGAGTAATAAAAATCATTTTCAGTTTGCATTAACGTGTTACATGAGCGGGGCAGCCACAAACAGTTGCTTTGGCTTTAATTTATACTTGAGAAAACTGAAAAACAGAAGGGTCACATACTTATCTACTTACTCAATCCAGGTCTGTTTTACTTCAGATATAGGGATGCTATATTCATCCCTATTTCAGATATATCAAAGACCCACTAATGTAACAGCGTTGCAAGATCATATTTAAGTATATTTTTTCTCCTTATGAGTTTGTGCATCTTCATATATATATAAAATATTTTGTATATATATCTGTTATGTATATATAAAATATTTTGTATGTATACATACGTATATATATATATATATATATAAGCAAAATATTTCATAGGGCTGAAACTGTGACACTATGGTAGAGTACTTGCCCAGCATGCATGAAGCCCTGTGCTTAATTGCCAGGACTGGAAAAAAAGTTTTATGCACAGTGGGTTTTTTCTTAAAACAAATTGTTTATAGATTTATCCTGAACACTTTCCGCTATCAATAAGTGTTCATTAATTCACCAGAATTTTTAAAAATAGTTGTATAGGTTTGCTTGGCTAATATTCTATAACTGGCATTAGGATTGTCTCTGATTTTTCATTTTTTATGTGTAATTCTTTGATGGATGTAAGTACGCAAGTAATTGTTTCTTTCAAGTGATTTTTAAAAAAACTGCATCATTTGAGTGTATTTTATGGTTGGGTTTCTTCAGTAAAGGACAAGCCTCTATATATTCATGGATTTATGTACAAAGTGGTGATTGAAAAATACAATATGTTTAAATTTTAAAAATTACAATAAAAGATATGTTGCCATTAATATCCATCAAGATATTCCTCCTTGATTCAAATACACTTATCCCATCACTCTTGCCCTGTCTGACGCAGGTCTGGAAGTCCTCTTTTCTGAGTGTGTTTATGAGGTATGATCAAAACACACTGAATGCTGTTGCTGAATGCCTTCCATTGGAAAGGCAGGCTTGGAAAAACACTATGTTTTCACCAGCCTGGCACTGCACTACTTCTGGCTCTTCCCCAAAGTCAAAGTACCATGAAAGATAGACATTCTGAGTCAAATAAGGATATCCAGGGAGCCAAAGCCAGCCAAAGATACTCATGAAAGAGGATCTCTATCTTCTTGTCCTCCATTCATTTGTATGACGGTCCATAAAAGTACACTTTCCCTGGTTTTGGGGGCATCTTTCTTTTTGAGGGTTCCCATGTCATGTAAAGCCTTGGTTAAATAAACATATATTATGTTGTTAGTTTATATTTTGAGTCCCCACCATACACCCTGAGAAAGATGAAAAAAATTACCATTTTTCTCCTACATCAGCAAACAAAATGATTGTTGTTCTAAGCCACTAAATGTTGGCATAATGTGTTATACGACAAAAGCTAAGGGATACAAACTTGCATAGGAGATGTTTATTTGTATGCACCGTTAATTGAGTCATTTGCAATTCCAAGATACAACATGGCACAGAGAGGACCTAATAATGTCCTGTTTTGGTTTGCTAGTCTTTCCTACTTAATGGGTCACTTAACACAGATTTCAGAAGTATAAAATATCGTTTTTTCTATTTCCTTGTCAGTAAAAACATAACTTACTCTGCAGTAAGTAAGTAGTTAAGTGGTAAAATACTTATAAAAGCCAATGTGTAGTGATTCCTTGGACAAGGCAGTGTCCTATGTTTGCAATGAGTGGAAAAGTTATTTAATTATTGTTATTAAGTACTTAATATAAAAATGTCAGTAAAATTTTAAAATAACTATCAAACAGGGTAAACAAACTACTCAGTGATAATCTAAAAGGTTTACTTTTAGAGTGAGGTCTGGGTGCTCTCCCTAAAAGTAAACCTAAGGAGGAATGGTTTTGTTTTTCATTCTTGGAAATTTTTCAGTGAAGGGAGTTTGTTTGCACCATTGTTGCTTTAACTTTATGACCTTTGGTTCTTCTTTTCTCTTCCTGTAAACCTTTTTCTGATCATTTATAACTAATCTCTATTTCACCTTTTGCATATTTTTTGTCTTTGTTCTATATATTCTAGAAGAATTCTCACATTTATATGGTTGTGTGCTGCTTAACAATAGGGTTGCATTGTGATAAATGTGTTATTAGGTGATTTTGTGGTCACAGACATTAGAATGTACTAATGTCTAAACCTAAACAAGCAAAATCTTAAAAGGCACATTACTCCTTAATGGTGCTCTATTTGAATAGTCCAGCAATTCAGGAGGGCGTCTTGGGGGAGGAGCTGGGTCATGACTTCTATGGCTCCTACAGGACACCAGCAATGGGCACTTATTGACATGCTTGAAGGCCCTGGGTTCTCACCATGCCAGATCACATTTTTGTAACCCAAAACATTGTCCCCAAATAAGGCCATTATGCTTCCCTCAAGAGCCTTAAAACCTGGCTTGACCTCCTTATGGATGAAAGTCCTTTTGGGGATCCATTTCCAGAATAGGGAGGATTCATCTAGACTGAACATTTAATGTGTGTATCAGTCAGAGGTTAGTACAGAAAGAGATTTAATGCAAGATATACACATATATAAGAATTTTCAAGATTGGCTTACAGTTGCTGCATGCAGAATCCGGGGTGGAAGAGTGCAAAAGGGCTGTCTGCACACTGGAGAGCCGAAGAATCTGGGCACTCACTGCGGTGTCCTGTGCGAGTCCATATCAGGAGGCCGGAGGGTCTGCGTTGGAAGGCGGAAGAGTCTGCACTGAAGCCAGAAGACAGTGTCCAAGGTAAAGCTGAGGACTGGAGCTTCCTCTCTGACTGGAGCCTTCCTTCTTTGCTTCCTTTTATTCCATCCAGGCAGCAAGCCTATTGGTTGCTGTCACTTACACTCAGGATAGATGATCTTTCTTTAGTAAATCCCCTCAGCCAACCCAGAACTATGCTGATCTAATCAGTTAACAATCACAGTCTTTACGTAGTTTTACTCTACTATCAGTTTATTCAGTTTCCAAAAATTCCTCATCTGTCTTGGTATGAGACTCACAGTCTCAGCCCTCACATTCTACATTACGTAATGAATAACGACTCTTTAAAAAAAAATGTTATTAGTGTATTTTAGGTGTATAGGATGAGTTTCAATAAGGCATATTTTACAGCACACAGCATACTTTGATCATTTCCACCTCTATCTCCATTATCATGCTTGCTTTTCCCATCTTCTACTCTAATAGTCTCCCCCTTACCTTTATGTCATCTTAAGACAGCTGGGGACCCACCATGGAGGGACAGGAGTCTGGGCTACAGCATGGTCTGTTTTTCAACAAAGACCCTGGTAAAACCACAAAGACATAATGTTTGCCTGATAGGAGAAAATGTTATCAGGGAAAAACCTAAATAAGCCCCTAAATAACTCAATTGCGCTGAGTTAACTTAAACACAACTTTTGGAGGTCATGCAGTGGGCAAGGTGTCATCATTTTCCACTAGTTTTGCTCTAGGCTACATCTTGACCCAGGGGTTGTGATGACAGTCGCTTGGGTTACGTCCCAGGAACCTGAAGCCCCTTTTGCTGAAAGTACAAACTTTTCACTTGAGCGCTGGAGAAATCTGACCAATGATTAACATGGGATAAAAGCTTGGCATTTAATTCTTCACTTTGTGTCTGCTCCTCTGCTGTCTTGACCCTTAAGTCAGATTCTATTCAGCTTTCTGAGTAGACATGTTGATAATCATGTTTAAATGTTTTATTCTAGACTATGATGCACAGTTACCTTGGACTGTTTCTCAGTGGAGGTGGTACGTGTTTTTCTTTCTCTCTCCTCTTTTCTGTCACCACCCCATGCTTTTTCTGAAGCCTCCAAAGTCCAGGTACATGAAGTCCTTTGGTCCTGTCATAGGGCACAGATCATAAAATGGTATATTTTGTGCAGGACAATGGCACAAGATACTTGAGAATCTGGCAGTCTCCAGGATGAGTTAACCATATTACCTGATGTTCCAAGCCATCATGAGAAGAAACAGCCTTTGGAACCATGCCCTTGACCAATGGAAATTATGACTTCGGCCCATTCAGCAAATCAATAAAACCTTGCTAATCATTCTGTTCTCTTTGTTCAGGAGTAGTATCTTGGTTACTCTCTAGACCAATTGCTGATTCCTCTTAGCCAAAACCCCAGTTTGGCATCCAGTCTATCTCTGTCTTTCTGTCCCATCACTGTCTCTTGCTCTCTGTTTAGTCACTTGAGTCACTCAGAGGTGATGGTAAATTTAACACGGTTGTGGTGGGAGGGGATCCAGTCTTTTCTTATTGTAAACAAATGCTTTACTTTAACTGCCACTGTCATGGAGCTAGAAGCTATTTCTGTTTGCTCTTCAATCTAGGTTATCAGAAGTTTTCCCATATTTTACATAAGTCTTTGAATTTTTTTAAGTTTCACTGCCTCCAGTAAAGCAGATCCTTTGATAACTTCTGTCATTTGGTTCTTGTTCTTCATGATGATAGCCACTCTTTTCATATATTTTCCTCCATTCTAGTCTTTAATAACTCTTACTTTTGTGTTTCAGTCTCTCAATATGGCCTCTTATCGGCAACATTAGCAATGAATTTAGTAGCTTAGGCACCACAATGAACAAATTACGAGATTAAATCTAGTTCACGAGAAAATGATGCACTCAAGATTATGAAGTCAACATGAACCGCATGAGGCTGCTGCTAGCATGCATGATACAGCATATTAGTTTTCAGTAAAAAAAAAAAAAACAGGCATAGACATTACTCTAAAATAATGATAAAATTATAAAATAGTAACTGTGTAAGTAATAATCATTTTTTACCACAATCACATATTATGCACTGTACACAGCTGAATGTGCTACACTTTTATACAACTGGCAGTATGGTAGATTTGTTTACACCAGCATCAACACAGACACATGAGTACTGCACTATGCTATGATCTTTTCACTTGCAATGGCATCTCTGGGGAACAGGATTTTTCCATTATAATCCTATATGGCACATGACTAGAGATTGTGTCACCGGTTCCATTTCCCTTAGTGGTGGCTTGTTGTTTACCATTTGCAAGGAAGATTTGAATTCCGATAATGTGTCTTTAGTTTCCTAATTTCCTTCCTTATCATGCTGTATTATCTTTTTATGTAATTATTTTTCCTCCCCACGTCTTTCACTTCTGTTTCATTTTATCTGTGATTCTATGTTTTCTACTCAGTATGCCAAAGAATTTTCTACAAAATTTTTTGATGTGGTTCTATAGTAAATCACTTTCGGATCTGTATACTGAACTCCCACCACTACTATGATAGAGAACTACAAAGAGAATGACTTCAACAAAACTTGATTTTCTTTCTGTTCTAGAGGCTGGATGTCCAAGGGCAAGATGATGTCAGATGTGGTTTCTGCTGGGGCCTGTCACCTTGGCTTATAGGTGATTGACCAGCCCATTGTGTCTTGCAATGGTCTTTCCTCTGTATTCCGCCATCCCTGGTGTCTGATTATGCTCCCTCCTCTTCTTATAGGGATGTTAGTAACAATACCCACCTGGATAGATGACGCTCCCTTCCCATCAGTAAGTATCATGTGGGTGAACATCATATTTGTTTCTAGATTTTTAAAAATTTTATTTAAAGAAAGAATAAACAAAACAGAAAATGGGTAGAAATAATACATACTTTCAAAGAGAAAAACAGTAAGAAATCACTAGTTGATGATTACAGATTGTTCTTTTACAAATAGTTATTCAAGATACTAAAGTGGAGCAGATAAAGTAGGGATTCAAACAGTGAGACTGCAACCAGTTCTGTTCAACTATTCAACAAAAATTTAGTAATATGGTTATTAATCCTGTACACTTAAACATACATGCAGATATCCACATCTTCATTTATGCTGAGATTGAACAAACCCAAGCAGGCTGAAATCACTCTAAACAAAGAATAATACTCTTGCTGGGTTTCACATTACGATGCTCCAGGTCAGCACTGGGTACTGTAGTGTCTCTTTTTCTTCAAAGTATTTGTTCATTTCATCATGTGTCATAAGATCAGCTCTCATAAACTGTTTATAGGTTCTACACATGCATGAGTCTTAACATGTATTTCTATCTTTTCTATGTTAGAGGGAGAAACAAAACAAATCAAGATAAAACAAAACATATTCCTATAAATACATGAAACAAAAAAAAATAAGACCATTGTACAAAGAGTTCTACCATTTACTGTGTTGTCTCTTGTTATCTTCAGTAGAATTGGCTTTATCATCAGATATAGTATAATTGCATATGTCAGTACATAACAGTATTAATAAAAACACAACTTTGTATATAGTATAAAACTTCAAAAACTGGCAGTAATCAAACCAGAATGTGTATCATAGTGAGTCTTGTCATCTTCAGTGTAGTTGCCTATACTCTCAGACTTGATACTATCAATCATATCAGTTTTGAATAAAATCTGCCAATACCAAACAGCAATCAAACAGACCAGATTTAACTAAGATCAGTCATGATAAAACAGTGTAAGTCATACAGGGCTCCAGATTAAGTTAATAGGAAATTAAAGATGATTACTGTGCTATATCCTGATGTTTTTGGGATAGCAGTCTGCCCTCAAATCTAATGCAAGTAGACAAACTGGGACAGAACAAAATCTATCTAAGCAGAGTGGTGTGAGTAATGTGGGTTTTAAATCCTGATACACTATTAACAATATCCTCTAGCATCTTTTTTAAGACTCTCTCCCCTTTTACTTCCCCAGGGTACACTGTGAATTTTTGGGTCTCACCAAGACCCTTGGTTCTAAATTGGGGGAGCAACCTGTTATTTACCTAAGTGGTTCTGAACCTTCTGTCTCCTGGACTTGATCTCTAAGTGTATTCCTTGACCTATTAAAGCCTGTCTTTCCAACCTATCCACAAATACTGTCTAGTTGCCCCTATTACTCTCTGGTTCCCTGTCACATAGAGCATTGTTTTCTCATATTTGATTTTCAGTTTATATACTCTTTTTCATGTTAATTATATTTCCTATAAATAGCATATTAGTGGACCCTACCTCCTGACCTACTCTACCTGTGATTCTCTTTTTTATTTTTTAAAATTTAGTGTATCAAAGCCATCTATTTTAGAGATTATAATCAATCTTCTTTGCCTCATTTCTGTTATGCTCTTTTTTGCCATTAGTTGTCTGCTTATCTTCTTCATTCTGTTTTCTGTTCCATTCATTGAGGCCTCTCTGACACTTTTCCTGGAATCTTAGTACTTTTCTCTCTCTAGAATGCCCTGCAGTATTCTCTGTAGAGTTGGATTGGTGGTTGCGAATTTCCCCAGTTCCTCTTCATCTTGGAAGCATCTTGTTTCTGTATTAATTTCTAGAGATAGTTTTTCAGGGTATATCAATCTGGACTGGAGGATTTTTTCTTTCAGGGCTTGGAATATTTCACTCCCAGCTCTTCTTGACTTGGTGGTTTGTGTAGAGAAGTCTGCCATTATTCTGATAGGACTTCCTTTATAGATTATCTGTTTCTTGTCTCTAACAGCTTTTAATATTCTGTTCTTATATTGAATTTCTGGGATCTTGATTATTATATGCCTGGGTGTAGCTCTGTTTTGGTTGTAGGTGGCTGAAGTTCGGTATGCCTCATACATATGAATATCATTTCCTTTTCCTATGTTTGAGAAGTTTTCCTTAATTATTTCTGTAATAGCCTTTGTAGCTCCTTTGTACTGCTGCTTCTTCATTCACATTCTTTATTCTCAAGTTATAGGTCCTCTTGTTGTCTTCTAGCCTTTGTATTTTTTTCTTCTA